TGTTAATAATAGTTTAACTTGTTGTTTGCAGTATAAGGTGTCATTATAAATACAACAGCCCTGGTATCCATTGTTTTTTTGGTTAGAAATAAAATTAAAACTGTATTAGAGTTGATAGTAAATCAGTGCTTTTTCTTATTTCATATGCAAAGAAAGTGTTTACATATAAATCCCAAAGGCACAGCTGCAAAAATGGTCTTGTTCTGAACATTAGAATGAACACTAGAAGGCAAAGCCTTGGCTTAATGGAAGAAAACTAAATGATAAACTTGTAAAACTATGTCAGAATTTTACTTTTGAATTTTCCTCTGAAGTTAAATCACCTCAAACCAGATTTTTCATGATTTCCATCACCTCTCAGAAACTCGGATGAATCAGGCCCCAGATTAAAACATTCCCAACAGAAAAAGCAGCTACAAACCCACAAATAAGGTCAATAAAAACAGCACCATCTGGCAGACAGCTTCTTCCTAATCTTGATGTCCCTCATTCTTTTAAACTGTGGTGAGATAAATGATTCCAGAGCAACAGGGGGTCTACAGAAGTTGAGAAACAGCAGGGAAGAGTCAGTTGTAGGATATTGGGCACGTTTGGGATTAGGGGAATTTCTGGGGACAAACTTTTGAGCTTTTTTTGTCCAAGAGATGTCTAAAAGATGTGATACGTGGTTGCAGAAGACAAAAGAAGAAGGAAATAGAGTTGTATTTACTGGAAACCTAAAGGGGATTTCCTTCTAGATCATGTTTTGACAGAGATGAGCCTTGATGTGCAGAGAAGCCCCTATACTGAAAGTTAGATCAGTGACTATGTCCATCTGACCTTCCCGCCCTGCATTCCTCCATCGTCACTGAACGACCACAACTCTGTAATTATTTACCCAAACTGAAATCCACACACACATGCACGGCTTTCTCTTCAGCATTGTCAAAAGATACATTTTCGTCTGCAAAATCCAGTAATTTCAATAGAAATCCACAATTTCATGGAGGGCAAAAGATTAGGTCATGCAGATTTTGTTTAAGTTGCTCACACGGATTCGCCATGCTGACCAATAGAAAGAAACTTGGTTTAAAAGTGTCCTCTGTGTGAATTGTCCTTTATTAATCACTACACTATTGTCAATGGAAAACTGACCTTTTTGAAATGAAATTTGTGACCCTTATAAGGGGGTAAATTTATTTCTTTTCTTTTCTTTTTAATTTATTCGTTTCAAGTATGATTTGCTGTTATGTTAATCTTTCAAACAAATTGGCTTCAACATTGAAGTGATATTATGTGTTCAAAAGTTCAAATGTGTAAGTATTCTGAAAGAAAAAAGGAGGGAAAGGCCTTAGCCTTATCCAGATAAGGGTATAAAAACTGAGAGTTGTGCCGTTCTTAAGTCCCTGTTTCCCATTGATTCTGTGAACGTCTGTCTGTCCTAATTCTATCCCATTGCACGCCTGCTCTCAATGGCATGTTTGCTCACAAAAACAGGTCTGCTGTTGTGATTGGCTGCTCTCAGTAAGGCAATTGGGGGTTGATTTGTCCTGATTTTTGTGGGACAAGTGAAGGACATATTTCTAGAACATTTTGCGATTCGTTCTTGCAATCGGGATGATTTTAAGTAAGTAGTACAAGATGCCAAAGGCCAGTGACTCCCTCTGATGCTCACGGGACTCTGATATGAGTATTCATTATGGTCTCCTGAGGGGCCCCAGTGACTCAGTATGAATTCACTCTTTCACACAGATGAGCAGCTGTGTGATAACCACGCTAACATGGAGTGACGTTTGGGGCCACGCATAGGTTACACATTCATACAACTTTGCTGTTTAATTTTTGCAGGCCATATAGAGGTACACATATAGGCGGAGAGTGTGTAAGGCTTAGCCTTCCCCTGGCCACAGGGACTTCAGGCAAAAATGCCACTAAATTGGACAAAAATGCCCCTGCATAAACAAATTAAATATATTACGTCTGTTGCTAAAAAAGTGAATATGAAATATTCATTATGGTCTCCTGAGGGGCCCCAGTGACTCAGTATGAATTCACTCTTTCACACAGATGAGCAGCTGTGTGATAACCACGCTAACATGGAGTGACGTTTGGGGCCACGCATAGGTTACACATTCATACAACTTTGCTGTTTAATTTTTGCAGGCCATATAGAGGTGCACATATAGGCGGAGAGTGTGTAAGGCTTAGCCTTCCCCTGGCCACAGGGACTTCAGGCAAAAATGCCACTAAATTGGACAAAAATGCCCCTGCATAAACAAATTAAATATATTACGTCTGTTGCTAAAAAAGTGAATATGAATAGACAGTGTCGATTGCGGCATTAAATTAAGATCTGCTTATGTTGCACCGTATTTCATTTTAGGCATTTTTACAGTGTTGTGCATTTTAACCAATCACACATATCTGTTGAGCTTAGGAATGCAATGGTCAGTTAGAGGCGTTCAGATGAGTCATCGTTTAAACTCATCAGTTTTGTTGAGTGCGCCGCGTTCGCTGACTGAATTCCGGACTCTTGCGAATTCTCTCACCATAGACAACAAAGCGCAGATAGAGGTACATACAATGTAAGTAAGATATTCATTTCACAGTGTATACAGCTTCAGTGATTATAACAATAGTTTAGTTTTTTTGAGCGTGCTTAAACTCGCGATAGACAGTGATAATGTCACTTTCTATATAGTCTATAATTTATTCGCTGTATGAATAACCATGGAAAGGAAAAGTTATATAATTATCAATTTCTAACGTTTTTATTGTAATCACGTTAAATACAAATTCAGTCTCATTAAACATTTTTTTTTAGCCTACATGACACCCATGTCTGGTTCTTGCCTAAAAAGAGGGGTTTATTATATTTAATACATTTGGCTGCTTTTAGCCTTACCCTGGAGTTGGTTCACCCTCCGCCTATACATAGTTATTTTGTTCTTTTTGTTTTATTTTTTATTTCAATTTTCTGTACTTCAAAACTTTATATTGCTCAACATTTTGCTATATATTTTGACATTGTTTTCTTTCTTGTTTGTATTATCCTTGGTCACATGATTAGGTCAAATGATCCTTCTTGTTTATGGTTAATACAGCTTTTATTAATTTTCTTCATAGCCCCGTTCTTCTAAAGTGTGTAAAACATAAATCACCTCATTAGGATGTATATAGAAATGTTAAAAGTTCTAGTTGAAGTGCGAGACCTCAGTGGCGCCGAGACCCTTTCAGCACCAGACTGGCTCCAGCGCCACTGTTTACCGGGTAGAGTTACTCCAGCGTTTTATTTTGAGGTTTGAGTTGCGGTAACAATCTTTTCCTCTCAGTTTGTGTGTTGAGGAGGTTCAGGCTCTGTTACAGCACCGTATCCGGTTTAACTGTGACCCACCTAGGATGGAAGTGTGGATCGGACATACTGCTTTAACCCTGTGTTGATGGCTTTCCCTTTCTATCCACACCTCACACCAGTCATGTCACCACTGTAACCTACTGACATAAATCTCCAATGCAAAACTTCCCTCTGAAACACCCCCCTCTGAGAGGGAGCTGAGCCAGTGTAATGCTTGACACCCACAGACACTGTGTGTGAGAGGGAGAATGTATATGTACACACTAAAGAAAGACAGGACTTCAGGTGCAAGTCACTTTTCTCATGTTAATTGAAAGACATACACTATACCGTTAAAACCGGTAAGATTTTTTTGCTTTATTTTATTCAGCAAGGATACATTAAACTGATCAAAATTGACATTTCTATTTCAAATAAATGGTGTTCTTTTGAACTTTCTGTTCATCGAGAATCCTGAAAACAATGTATCACCGTGTTCTGATATAAAACTGAAAAGAATTGGTCGTATAAGATTTTTTCCCCCTCATAATAAACCTTATGTGTTTTAGCATCATTGTAAATGGAATAATCTTGAAGAATAACGTCTTTTTATAAATTTTTCCAATCCAATTTTTATCCCATACAATTTTTCCAATCCAATTAGAATGTATTTCAGCCAAGTCACCCACATCATAGATTCATATTTTAAGGATTTGTGCCAGTTGCATAAGTCTTTGACTTTAGAGTGACGCTAAACAAGCTAATTCCTTCTGTTATTGAGTGATGACTTTTTTTTTTTTTTGGTGTGCATTGTCGGTGTGTTTGTGTTGGGTCGAGTCGACATGATTGATGGGGAAAGTAAGACACCTATCCAACAGGTCATTCACAATTCAGATTGCAACACCGTGAATGCCAAAAACATTCAGCACAACCGTTTTCAACATTTATTATAATAAGAAAAGTTTCTTGAACACCAAAGCAGCATATCAGAATCATGTGACACTGAAAACTGGAGTAATGGCTGCTGAAAATTCTGCTTTGGTGGCACAGGAATAAAATATTTTAAGATATATTACAATAAAAATGATATTTAAAATGTTAGTATTTTTTCAACAATATTTTACTGTTATTTTGATGAAATAAATACAGCCTTGGTGGGCAAAAGAGATCAATATTAGGTCAGAGCAAAGTTGCCACTATCACTTGTTTTAACCGTTATACAATTTATAATTGTTTTCTATTTTCACAATTAGTTAACTGTTTAATTTGTGTTTCTCAAAAAAGTCTATAACATGCCCCACTAAAGGTCAACATATGTTTCCTGGCCATTAATAGTGGAAATGTTAAAATTTCTTTTCTCTATCTATCTATCTATCTATCTATCTATCTATCTATCTATCTATCTATCTATCTATCTATCTATCTATCTATCTATCTATCTATCTATCTTTTTGGTGCCAAGTTATTTGAAAAACTACAACAGAAATTAACAGCTACCCCCAAGCTCCCCTCTATATATATATATATATATGTGTGTGTGTGTGTGTTAAAAATCATACAAATGTTATTTGTCATGTACCCAATTTCACAAGACATCCCAGTGCCAGTATTTTCTCTTATCAAATTGGAACATAGATAGAGAGAGAGTGAGAGAGAGAGTGAGTGAGAGAGAGAGAGAGAGCTGTGTTGTAGTGAGGCGAGGGCACCGTGCGGCTCTGCATTGCATTAGTGCTGGGAAGTTCACACAGCTGTTCTCGCTGTCATATTGCGCTGATTAGAGACGCGGGAAAACCTCAGAGAGCACGAGACCCTTCCGAGTGGATTCTGCGTCCGATTCAGCCTCGTGTCGGAGCGAAATATAATCACGCTTCGCTGTTCTTCTGCTGCAAGGTGACGCAGCGCCGCGTATCAGGTGGAGTGACGACAACTGCGGCACCAGAGCGAGTCCGACCGACCGAGCGACCGACCGACCGAGCGGCGGATAACGGTCCTCTCAGAGGAAAGAAACCCGGGGCGGCGCTGATATGTGTCACCGTTCACGATGACAACTAGGCGAAAGTCCAGCAAACTGCAGCTTCGGCGGTCAATCAGCGAGCAGCTGCGCGACTCCACCTCGAAAGCCTGGGATTTACTGTGGAGAAACATACGAGAGAAGAGACTGGCAGGTCAGTGGCAGGACACGAATGAACTTTTATAGATAAACAACAATGCATCGTTTATTTAATGATATTCCTTCTGCCATACGGGCCTCGGGAAGGTCAAGTTTTTCGGTCATGGTCAATTTTTGTCCTTGTGACTGAGATGGATTTTAATAAACTTGCATGTGATGAATGCTTGTGCTGTCTATAAATAATTAAAATCAACATTGACATTGCGCTCCGCCGGGTCTGTTGTGCGCGTGAAGCCGCCGTTGCTCTGTAATGTCATTAACGTTAGCTGATGTCTGCTGCCTCTCAACTCGATTAAATGCGCTGCATTCCTGCACAAAAACTAATCAGGACACTCGATCCATGTCACGTTTTTCACCTATTTTAAATATTCTGCACACTCTGAAGTGGTGTATTATGTTTTTTTTCTTCTGTGTATTTTAGGAATTTAAATGTTTCTGTTTGTTCTCCTTCTATCGTATAGCCTAGTTGAATATGTTGGTAGTATGATATAGTTCTCAACAATTTTAACATTTGTATATACAGTAGCAGTACAGTATAGTTTTCATACATGCTCAACAACTAACTCGGTCTCGTTTGACACCTATGTTATTGCCCTCCAAAGTCTTTCATCAGCTTTATCAATGTAGGACATTTCCAAGATAATTCTTTTTAACTGAGCTTCAAGTTAAACAGTGTTAAGAGTATAATATAATAACAGTTTGTTCAGGATGTTGGGTAACACAGGTTAAAATGCTGAAAATATAACAAAATATTTCAGAAAAAAAGCTAAATTAAAACTGAACTTGACATCCAGCAACCTTGCAGTTTTGTTGTATTGAAAAGAGCAGCTTTGGCACTTTGTTCCACATTGAAGAAGTCATCTGAGTTTTGAGCATCCTGAGGATAGAGATATTGAGATCTTTGCAGGTTAAGAGGTTAAAAGCAAATCATTTATGAAAGATGTAATTGTTGGATTGTGAATGACATGAATGAGTGATTTCTTTCAAACACCCTTTTCTTTACTTACAATAGTCATGCAGCATTTAAAGGTACCTTTTTTTGGAAATTTTTTTAGAAATTGCATTTAAATCCACTTGGTTCAAAAGTCTGACCTATATTGAGCTTAATAATCTTTCTATGGATGCCTTGGGGAATAATGTAATTCTAGTATAGAATTGAGTCCATTAAAACATGAATGGCAGGGCTCCGCATACTCCTTTGTGGCTTTAAGTTAGGAAGTGACAGGAAAAGTTCATTTAAAAGCAATCTGGACTCATTGAGTGCTGTACAGACACTCCTCTCTTTCCTTCAACCCACTAACCTCGTTCTTCTCTTTTTAACCCAGGGATTCATTTCTGCTCCAGCACTCAGACCTTTTATCCTTTGGGTAAACATAGCATATAAAGATGTATATATTAAAACCACAGTGTTTTGTAGCTGTGTGGAGTTTAGTGGATATTGAACTTGTCGACTCTCGTTACTGACAAAACATGTGGGATTACTGTAAGCAGTGTCTCCACCTCGATTTAGACCATGAACAACTCACCTCTGGTTGACCTGCGCTGGATTTAGCTCATAAGTGAATGCAAATAATGACACAGGTTTGTTGTCATGGATCAAGTTCATGTTTCGGTAATTTTGGCACAGCCCTTATGTGGGTGTCTTGGCTGGACTGAATTCTGTATTGGTTATGCAGCCTGAAGGAAGTCCTCAGCTGAACTGAGTGAATTATGAATGACTTTTTCAAAACTAATTGCATTCCATGACCAGCAGATGGCAGTCATTGTCAGGTTCTTCTCAGTAAGCTTTAACTGCATCTTTCTACACTTGACCATGCATGGTTCAAGTCAAGTCAAGTCAAGTCATACACTAAAGTGGAGAAAACCGACACATTGCTTGCACACAAAAGAAATGTGACAATTTTTCTTGGATATTTCACAGTTCAGTAGAAGTGTTTGGCCAGGTCTAACACCACTCATTTTCTTTTCGTTCCAATACCAAGTTCTATCATGGCCAATCACCCAAGACCAACCAAATGTGAGCCGTCCCAGTGGCCAAACATCTTGGTTTCTTGACTTCTTCAACCTTACTTTTGAGAACAGTTATCGTGCTTACTACCACAATCTGTAGTGTTTCTTTCTGTTTGCTGTGCATATTATTCTAGACGATTTTGATTTGAAATATTTAGCAGATGTAATTGAGATCTCTGAGGATATTGCTGTTGTTTCTGACAGCTGTAAAATCTCTCTCCTTCCCACTGTAATTCACTTTTAAGATTTTTTTTATAGCATATGGTATGTTGAATGGTGTTTTTCCCCCCAGGTGCACCATTCTTTTCTCTCTTTTATTTTTTTTTGGCTGATACATCCACATACACACGTACCCAGACTGTACTTGAGAAACACTCTAAAATCACTCTGAAGCAAGTTTTTGGTTCAGTTGGCTGTACAGTGCTTTCTATCCTCGCAACCCTATTGGCTCCTCTCGCAGTCACACGACCATTAAGTGGGTGGTGCAGATGAAAGTGTGCTCTCGGAGCAGAAGTGACTTCATGCTTAGGTGTGTTTGGGTCTGTATATTTGTCAGTGTTCAGTGAGTATATGACAAAAGGAGCACGTTTTATAGTGTATTTCAGTGCATGTTTGACTCTGTGTGTGAAAGTTAAGGGAGTGATACTCTAAGTTCGAGGAAGTGCTTTTTAGTGCCTCTGTACCTGTGGACAGTTGATAAGATGGACACAATGTTGACCGACCTCTCAGATGAGTCCATGGACAGCGAGTGTTTGGGAAGCATGACTCCAGAGACTCAAGATATATACCTCAGACTGGACAGCCACCGCAGGCGTTCTGGACTACGCCTGGCCCGTATCATTGCTAGGCAACAGCTGCTGAAGAAGATATCCCAAGGTATGAGAAGTGCTTTGGGTAACAGTTTGGACTCATCTTTCCTAGCATCTACGTTATTATTTCTATATATATATCAGCAGTGTATTGTAAATTTGTCTCAAATGTTTCTCTTAAAATTCATTAGGGGCAATAAAATGAGAAGAAGAATATAAAGTCATAAATTGAATTGAAGAACATAGCCCAGTTAGTTTAGATTTGGATAAAAATGATAAAAATGTGAGTTTATATTGAAATCTGTTACTTTTGATTGCAAATTTTAGTATATTACCAAATCTGAGCACAGTTTGAGATGTTGTTCAGATTTCTGATTATTATTATTTTTTTAGGAGAAAATTCTGTATCAGAATGTATCCCTTTGCTCTCCATTTATTGTCATTGCTGTCTCGTAAAAGAACTGAGATATTAAAGTGATTCCATATGACATTATTCATTCCTTGTTTTTGAAATGTCAGTGAACTTTATGATACCTTCAAGCCAGACATGATGCAGAGACATTATTAAGGGTTACAAAAGATGTGCCTGTTTTATTTTTTGGTCTTCTTTGCGTAAATATGAAGCACTTGGTTTATTCTTAGCTTTGACGTGCTAAGCTGATCTTCTGTTTTCGATGGGAATACATACAGTCTACAAGACAAAGTTTACTTGTGTTTTCTAGATGTAAAGAGTCTTTGTGTTTCTGGCACTAGAGAACAGCCTGTCCAAATCCAAAGTATTATCCACAAATCAACAGCATTATTAATGAATAACCCTTTTATACTTCAAGCGTATGATAGCGCATCACATTTGTTGTTTGGTGGTTTGTTTTGGTTTGTCTGAAGAAGTATTACGGAGAAGCATACAGTATATAAAGTACAAATATGATTTGTTAAATATGTTTGTAATAATACTGCTGATGTTTAGCTTTGCTTTGACAGTGAAATGCTTTAGAGGTCAATAAAAATGCAGTGTGTGGCAGCTTTAGTTTAGGTTGGAATCTGCTCACGCACACACACACTTTCTCTCTCTCTCTTTCACGGCAGCAGGAATGTTTGGACTGCATGCCGGTTATTCTGTCATTCGGCTCGTGGAGGTCTGGACGGCTGGAGATCTCTTGTGAAAATACAGGCCTGTCCAGTCATGACTATGGCATGTGGACGCATATCATGCTGAAGGATATATTCACCTCTATCTGCGGAGACAAGATAATTTATTTAAAATGATATCCCACTCTTAAGATAGTTTGACCCCCACTGCACTGAGGCTACTGGGAGTTTTTTCATCAATTAGACATTTATTTCATTTCTTAAATGGTGAGACCCAAAAGTGCATGAAATTAAATTCTCTCTGACTAAAGGGTAGATTCCCTCTGACTTTGTTTTAAATCTTAACCTGACCTTCTGCCTGACTGTAGACTACGTGTTAGCAGTTGTACAGAGTCGAGTCCAAGAATACCCCATTCCATCAAAAACTGGGCCTTGTGCCTGTCATCAGCAGCACTTTGATAAAGCAGGTCTGCCACTGTGAAATGTTTTGAGCTAAATGTGGACTGGAGGCAGTGCCATAATAAGACTGAAATGTGAGCATCTTAATTTGTCCACTTAATTGTGTCTTGCACTTTCTTCAGAGCATCATAAATATGTGTTTGGAGGGGTCTTTCGTCAGGGAGAGATCAATTTCAATTCTCATTCACAAGCTCTCTATTTGATTTGAATCAGATTTACAAGCTCTCAGTTCGATTTAATTTGAATTTGAATCACAAGCTCTTGATTTTATTCCACTTGACAAGCTTTGAATTCACAAGCTCTCTATTTGATTTGATTTCAATTCACTTGCTGTCTGTTTGATTTGAATCTGATTTGGTTCCGGTTCTCATTGACTCTCTATTCTTATTCACCAGCTCTCAATTTGATTTGGTTTGGGTATATTTTAGTTAGAATGTTATATTTGCTCTCTCTACTTTTGCTATGGAATATACAGAGCAGTGTTTCAGACTGATTCAAACCTTTTTGAAGTATTCATTAGTCAAGTCAAGTCAAGTCACCTTTATTTATATAGCGCTTTTAACAATACAGATTTTGTCAAAGCAACTGAACAGCATTAATTTAGGAAAATAGTCAATGTCAATAATGC